GCAACAACAGCAACAACAACAGCACCGCCGCCCCCGGCGCCGCCACCCCCACCACCGCCACCGCCACCGCCACCGCCACCGCCACCGCCACCGCCACCCCCACCGCCACCGCCACCACCACCACCACCACCACCACCACCACCACCGCCAAGACAACCACCACCAAGACCCCCGCCGCCGTCGCCACCACCACGACTATCACCACCACCACAACGACCAAGACCACCACCAAGACCATCGCCAAGACCACCACCAAGACCACCACCGCCACCCGCAGCGCCAGCGCTAGCACAAGCGCCAGCAGCAGCGGCAGCAGCACCAGCACTAGCACCAGCACCAGCACCAGCACCAGCACCAGCAGCAGCAGCAGCGGCAGCAGCAACAGCAGCAGCAGCAACAGCGTAGCCATGTAGGCGCGTAAATGCGTAACAACGTCACAGCGTAACAGCAACGGCAACGGCAACGGCAGCAGCGCCAGCGCCAGCGCCAGCACCAGCAACAGCAACGGGCAACGGCCACGGCCATAGCGGCAACAGCACCAGCACCACCACCACCACCAACAACAACAACATCAACTTTTTACCCGCAAAAACTGAAACAACGACAACCGCGCGAGCAACAGCGACCGCAGTGGTAGCAGCAGCACGAATCCCTGCAACCCGAAATCCCCAAACCCTGAAGCCGGGAATTGCTCGGTCTCGAAGCAGCAAGGTAAAACCGAACAACATCTCATGTCATCTCATCTCGTCTCACCCCATCCCATCCCATCCCATCCCATCCATCCATGCATCCATCCATCCATGCATCCGCCTACCCAGCCATCCATCTATCCACACATTTTGCAAACCCTTCAAAAAGTCCTCCCACATACTCTTGTCCCCTTACTGGCCCGAGTCATGCACTCCGAGGCAAAACTCAATGCAGCACCACATGCGCAGCCAGACTTGCTGCATCCACGAGAGGTTTGTCATTTCGATAACAACATGAGGCCAACATTATAGTTTTGAATAAGTTTCAAGGGATCGCGCGTTGCGGAGGACCAGAACATGCCGGCAGCGCCGAGAGCACGTGTCGTAGCCATTTCACGCGACCGAACATGCGTTGTCAAATCCGGGCCCAAATCGGATCGTCACGGCACCACATGAGCATTCACAGCGACTACCGCCAGCCCTGCCCCGCGCGCGCTGAACATGATGATCTCATGAAGTAGGAGACAACCACAAGAAAACCACAGACAACCTCTCGAAAATGTCGCATCATGCGAAAAGCTCAGGGTCATCAAAACTTCACATCCTGCCACCGAAACCACCTCCATGAGAAACCTTCCGCCACCCAGTGATTCAACAAGGCAAAACCAGAGAACTGGCTTCGTCGGGAGCCGCACTCTGGTACGTGGGAGGCTGCAAGCCGGAGTGTAGCTCACCAATGCGGCCTCGTGGCGGCGGGCTTTTGGGGTTTTTGGGTTTACCTCAAACCCCAAAAGTATGTAAAATAATGGCCCAAAACCTACGAAGAGCTATTATTTTACATATTTTTGGGGGGTCCAGGTAGGGTTTGACCTTAGCTCCCCCGGAGGTTGTGACTTTCGAGTCGTTGGGGCTCGAGGTTCGGCTTTCGGCGTGGGCTGAGGATTCGAGGCATGGCCTCTGCAGAATGCCTTGTAGCCGCAAAGGCTCTATGGCGAAACTAAAGCATAAACCTCGTCTGGGAGCCCGAATGGTAGGAAGCTGCTTGAAAAAAACAAACCTAAGCCACGCGGGAAACCACATGGTATACATTCAAAAGGATCCTCTAAACACCACAATGTTGAAGCCACTCACGCCTCAACACCAAACCGCGTACCCTACGACCTAAACCCTAGAAGCCTTTAAGCCTTCAAACGCTTGAAGGCCCCCAAATCCTAAACCCAAACTTTAAAGCCGAAAAGCCCCACAGCCCTAAATCCTAGACAGCACAGCAAGTCCCGCAGAACACCCTCCAGCTGCTGAGGGAACAGCGAGTCGCCCAAAGCCGGAGCCCGGCGTCCTCCTGCAGGAACCGGGTGGGTTTACTTGGAGGATCATGGTTTTTTGTAACTAGGGTTATAAATAAGGTAACTATAATTATAACCCTAATTAGGGTACTTATATCCTTACTTACTAAGTCCCATGATCCTCCAAGTAGGGCTTGGGGTTTAGGGTACCCAGAGTCACAGAGAGCCCAACACAACCCCTTGATTCGGAAATAGACCTAAATACGATACATGAGTTGAATTCCCTGGCAGATCGGGTCTGTCACGTATCCTACGAGTCCACGTAGCTGTCCTTACGGATTCAGTGTTCTTTGTGGGTTCAGTAGGACCTGGAAAGCCCATCGAGTGGGTTGCTTATGGGTAGTATAAGGTTTGCATGAGGTTTGCGGGCAGCCGTTGGGTTCCTACGGGTTACTTGAAGGGTGTAATTAGGTGGGATTTGCAGCGGAAAAAGCACTCTGACCGGAGTAGTAACTCTTATGGTGCCATTTGGGGTTTGAGGTATGGGGATGTGGCTGTCGAAGTTCCATGCTTCAGGGGAAATGGGGCGTCATAATGTCACCGTCATTGCAACCGCGTGAACTGTCGTGGCGATTCCATTGCCATCAGTACTTACGCCAGTATTGCCAGTAGCGAAGCTGTGGTACCTGCCGGAAAGCATACCAACATACTACATATTCTGCGACCACGCCTACTAATTTACCATCGACACGTTCATTCTTACCGTCTTCACAATTATTTCTAGAAGTACGGCGCATTGCTACAAATGGCGTTCATGTTACAGTTGCTACGCCCGTGCTTTCAGAAAAACAGAACCAGTCCATGGCTGTGCTCCATTGCAGCCACAGTCCTCTATCAAGTAGATCCGCGGCGCCATATCTAGCCGCCTGTCAGGCGTCTCCTTCAGGCATCCAACTCTGCAGCTTTCAGTTTCCCTGGACTATAGGGAGTTGAAGTATTGTGATTTTTGGGTCGGTCCTCCAAAGCGCCTCTGGCGATGACCACGGACCTTGCAGAGTTACGACTTAGCATTCCGCTGCTTGCAGCATTTCTGTGAGGAGGTCCATTCTTCGCGTAGCTACTCTAAGCATTAATGTTGCTACTGCAACAACAGCCACACGTGCCACAACTGTTCGGAACTTGGACGCCTTTTGATTGAGAGCAGCACCAAGCTGATCCACCCCAATCAGGGTGATCCGTCGGAAGTGTTACCTCGCGCCAACGGTCGGCTTTGCATGGTTTGCTTTGTTGAGCATGTTTTACGTAGCCTTGTAACCCTCCCGTAGGTCTACTCCTGCTGAAAAAAGGGCGACTATCGCCGCTGCTGCTACAGCTACAGCTACAGCTACAGCTACGGCTACAGCTACAGCTACAGCTACAGCTACAGCTACAGCTACAGCTACAGCTACTGCTACTGCTGTTGCTGCTACTGCTACTGCTACTGCTACTGCTACTGCTACTGCTACTGCTACTGCTACTGCTACTGCTACTGCTGTTGCTGCTACTGCTACTGCTGTTGCTGCTACTGCTACTGCTACTGCTACTGCTACTGCTACTGCTACTGCTACTGCTACCGCTACCGCTACCGCTACCGCTACCGCTACCGCTACCGCTGCGGCTGCGGCTGCTGCTGCTGCTGCTGCTACGACTACGACTACTACTACTACTACTACTACTACTACTACTCCTACTACTACTACTACTACTACTACTACTACTACTCCTACTACTACTCCTACTCCTACTACTCCTACTACTATTACTACTACTACTACTACTACTACTACTACTACTGCTACTACTACTACGTCTACTTCTACTTCTACTTCTACTTCTACTTCTACTTCTACTTCTACTTCTACTTCTACTTCTACTGCAACAACTACTAACGACAATAATTCATAACTACAACAAACGATGTTAATACTATGCTTCTTCTACGAACTCACTGGTGCCTCTACGATGCAAACGAAAATGCTGATGATTGCTACAGCAACCTCAAAAAAACTTGCAGGCAAAGGCAAACTTCAGCAGTACAAAAGCGCAATGCTCACCATCCAACCTATCCTTCTCACCATCACCACCGCCATCACCACCAGAACCACCACCGCCACCATCACCCGCCACCACCACCGCCACCACCACCACCACCACCACCATTATCCGTATCTCAATGAGCGGCAGAGTGCCGGGGCTCGGACAGCCATCGGGCCTGCTGTCCAGTCGTCAGCTGCCAGGAGCCTTTTGACTGTGGGATGCAGCTTCACAGCTACTTTAATCCTGCTTGGAGGATCATGGGACTTAGTAACTAGGGTTATAAATAAGGTAACTATAATCATAACCCCCATTAGGGTACTTATAACCTTACTTCCTAAGTCCCATGATCCTCCAAGTGGGCACGCTTACATCCGAATGATGCTGACATGATCCAAAATCGCTCTTCGTCCCTTCATCGTTGCCGTTTGGCCTAAGGTTTGCCACGCAGTTTACATTTCCTGGCCGAGCTCAGGCCTAGGCTGGTGCTTGGGCAGCTTACCTTAAGAACCCAAAACCTACTT